AAAAAAAAAAAAAAAAAGTGGAGCTGCCATGAAATTTCACATACATTTTTTGTTGTTTTTCTAGTTTTGCAATTTATGTGGCCATATATGATACTATCCTTTCATGATCACAAGCCAGAAGTAACATTTTAATACAATAAAAATAATAATAATAATTAAAAAAAAAAAAACGATGCACAGACCATCAATTTTATCGACTATTCGTCACGATTGGGTTCACTTTGATCAAAATTGTGAAGGATATATAGCCAAAACAGAAATTCTATGGAGCCAAATGCTCCATAAGCCGAGTCATCCGATGACTCTATAGCAAAACCGATAGCCAAAATTGTAAAAATATTGGGATTGTTTCAGGTGCATTTGGCCATATACAGTGTGACAACTAAAATCCAGTGGACCACCTTAATGAATGAGAGATGTATATAATGCACGGAATTAATTGCATATCGCCAACAAAACTGGCAATATTGCATTTACTGCATAATTACAGGTAATTACACACTAACAGCCCCAAGACTAGATGAGCTAAGAAGGACGAATAACAGCCTAAAGCTGCCCTTGACATTTATTACTCGAACGATTATCAAACTAGGGCCAAATGCTAATCAAGTTTAACAATCTAATAATATGAATTTTCAAAAATAAGCAAGGCAAACAATGAAAAAAATAAGACTCCTTTCACTGGTGCATGGTCTCTCTTAATTGATCGATAAGCATCTTATTATTAGATCTCTATATAGGACTAGGCCGACGGCCTGCATTTGCCTTGTCGTGATTGCACTTGAACGACCATATCCAAATTTCAAGCAAGAATTCATTTCTATTTTCTTCACGAAAAATCATCAACAGAAAGGATATGTAGTTCTGCAAATGCAAATATTATAAAATACAAATGAACATGTTAAAAAATCGAGCAAAAAGTTCAATTCACGGGTACCTTTAGATTGCTTATTAAGTCAGACGGGCATTGTCTGCAGCCTAATGTGTTTGTACTTCTGATCCCTATTAAAGTATCTAGAAGCTTCTGTCAAGCCTTTTGATAAAAGCTGTTCAAGAGCATCAACACCTTCTACCAATGCAGCATCGATCTGCCATGCCAAACAAAGTGCATCAATATGTTATTCAGTATGCCTTTTATTAGCTATGCAGCAAAAGTTCGCTTTTCTTTTCTTCCACCTTTTTTTTTTCCAAAACCATGTTTCATTAGTTAAGAGAATCAAAAGGCACGAAAAGAAAACAAAAAAGTGTGAAGAAAAAAAGGAGTTTGCATTTTATTTCAAGAAACTTTAAGCATGGGTATACCCGCTCTCGAGCACTGGCATTGAACTTTTGGAGTAAAAATGCTTTCGGATCCATTTGACCAGCCGGCCTCCCTATACCTAGTACACGATTTACATTAGGTCTCATCATTTACAGGAAACTGAGGTCATCAGGCAGCAAAGCTTTAAACTTGATGATTCAATCTTTACCAATTCTTAGCCTAGGAAATTCTCTATTCCCCCGAAAATGATGGATCACGCTTTTAAGCCTGCCAAAAATTTATTAAAGCACAATTTCTATGGGTTATAAACTTCAACCAGCAAAAGAACTAGTGAATTTACGACTCTTCCAGCAAAAGTAGCATTTACATTAAATAATTCTCCACAACAATTCTACCAGAGAATGACAAACTTCATGCATAGTTGCTATGACAAATAATTTGCTACCAAAAATGGAGTTCCAGGATAATAATAGACGGATTCGAGTGATGACAGTTGATTGATAAATTATCCGTTAAAGAAAGCATATTTCCATGCCTTCTCGTGTAACAAATATATGAGCTACAATTATTCACGTAAGTTTCAGATTATTCAGACCCTAAATACTCTTATACTCTATCCTAAATATTAAATGTATAGTGTACAAAAATTTTAAGCTCCACAGACCCACAGATAGTTTTCAGTTCTATCAACGTTCATTTAATTTCAATGTTCGAAATAAAGAATTTTATTACAACTAAAACAAGTATCTGGGTTTATTATGTCTAAATATCTTAAAATGTGATCATATGTGCTCTGCTCTGATATCTTTGCAAATGCTTACTAAGATTTCAGAAGACATCAACAATATATCACACGAAGTACAATGGGCTCAACAGTACATATCAATCAAAAGCAGATGGTCTTGGAACTTCAGCACAAAAGATGGAGGAACAAGAAATAGCCAGGTAGATCGGACATAAACTTCCCGTCTCTACGCTAACATAATTTCAAACTTAGTCAAACAACAAGAGACTGCATAAAAAAAGGCCACATGATTGGATAAATTCCCATTCAAAAATACATGTGGCCATATAATAATTAAAAGCCAACTTTGTTGGGCGCATGGTATATCCATTCATTCAATTTTAATAATGGTTACATCCTACAAATCCAGACATAAACTTCTGGTGTTCTTACCAGACATAATTAAATTCTAGTGCTTCTTCTATTAGTGAAGTTTCTAAAAAAAAAATAATATATATATATATACATATATATATATAAGACGACGTAATGCACCTTGGGTCGCTACGGAAACAGCCTCCTTGTAATTATACAAGGGTAAGGTCTGCATACAACTGACCCCCCAGACCCCAACCAGTTGGGAATATACTGGGTATGTTGTTGTTGTTGTTGTTCTTACCCGTTGTGACTTCCGTGATTTCCCAAAGGATTAAGACGAAGAACTCCACAAGGTAAATCCATGTCATCATGAACCTACAATAACAAAATATCATCAAGCATTACAGAATCAGAATAACATATCTCTTGGATAATGAACAACAGCCAATTAGAAAATATGAAGAACCAATTAGTCCATGAGACAATACCACTAGCACTCTATTAAGAGGAAGCTTGTAATAAGCCGCAAGGGGACCAATCTGCGAGATAAAAATAATAAGAGCTTCAGTCACAAATACACAACAGAAATGGATATTTCCTCGGAAATTTTTAATAATGCTCACAGATTCACCACTCAAATTCATGTAAGTCTGAGGCTTTGCCAAGAAAACTGGAACACCATTGACCAGGCCTGAAGGAGACACAAAAAAACATAGCTCAATATGGGAATCAACTGGTGAAGTTCTCAGCAGAAGTCATGTGAGCAAATTGCAAAAATAAGCAACAGACCTTTCCCAAATATAGCTTTGCAGTGGACAGATTCCATTGAAATCCCTTGTGACCTTGCAAATGCATCAATCAACTCAAATCCAGCATTGTGTCTGGTACCCACAAATTTGTCTCCTGGATTGCCCAAACCCACCAAAAGCCATGGCCGTGGAGAAGACAATGTAGTGGCTGCACAAAAGCAGCGCTTGGAGAATATACTTCGAAGCATTTCCACTGTTCTACAATGATTTTGAGAAACTAATCAGGATGAGAAGAAAAAGGATGGTTTGGATTTGAAGACAGCAGCTAATGCAGTTTTCATGGTTTTCCTTTCACTTTAAACCAACTTCTTGGTTCAAGTGTCATTTAAAAGAATCACATTGATGCTAAACAAGTTAAATGATGCTTTTCCCTCACTCAAACCAAAATATTGCAGAATATCCTCACCAATAAAACACAAGTCCAGCAATAAGCATGCCTGGAAAAATAGAAGTCTAACATAAGCAACTCCAAGTTTGGTCAAGTAGTACATACAAAACAAAGAAAATAGGTAAAATACATCATAGAATCCACCCAAATCCCTATTAGGGGTGTTCGACCGAACCGAAGTACAAAACCGAATTAACCTTTACTATATGTCAAAAACTGAACCAACCAACCGATGTGCTTAAAACCGAAGTATCACCGAACCGAATGGTTCGGTTGGTTCAGTCGGTTAACCGAACTTTTACAAAAAAATTTCGGATTGTTTACTAGAAATAAAAATAAATAAATAAAACAATGGGTACAGATTGAACAATTGGAATAAATAAATCCCCCATTCCAGACTTGTATAAATCCCAAGATTCTGTACAATACAACTATCTGTACTCTGTACAACTATCGAAGTCAGAATTCAGAACTAAGCATTCTATTCTCCCAACAGGACGAATCAGAAAATAAATCTCACAAACATAAACACATACAGTCAACATAAACATCACAATTCACAAACATACATGATCTTCACTACAAGTCTGGAATTAGAAAATAAAACAAAAAAAAAAAAATTACCTTGATAATGGAACTGAGTTTTTGGGAGAGAGCCAAAAATTGGGAAAAGACTTTCTCCCTTGACGGTGAACAACCGTGAGCCCGGCCGAAACCTCCTAGCTCAGCGTCCTCGACTGACGAATTGACGACCGGCGACAAGGAGTCGCAGACACAGCTACCTGAACCGGATAAGACGATTTGGTAATTGAGGGATGATTCAGATGGGGCGATTTAGGGAGAAGGAGCGGCGGCTGCGGAAGATTTGGGGACAGCGAGGATTTGGGGAAGAGAGTAGGGAGAGGAGAAGAGACCGAAAGAAAACATTACGGTTATATAAAACATTTATCATGATTTATTTATTGTTTTAAATTAAATCGAGTTGACACAGTAGGACTGAATGGACTGAGAACGAATTTATAACCAGTTTAGTTCTTTTGAATAAAATATTTGCTATATCGAATCCGTCAATACCAGTACGTTGGACTGGTACGATTTTCTAAATATTTTTTCTTTTAAATAAAATTACATATCTAAATAAAATAGAAATTTACAAGTTGTTTATCAATTAGTTTAAATATTTGAATTTATAAATTATTTATATATTTAGATAACACGTTTTATTTAAATTTATTACAAAAAGTACTATATATATATATATAGAGAGAGAGAGAGATAGAGAGAGAGGGTTTGGATCATATGAGAATGGTAGATAGTGGAAGAAATAAGAATAAATCTGGACCATATGATCAACCATATTGATATGCAATATTATACCTAAAGGAATAAATCGGCTCAATAGATCGGTCGAACAAACCCGAGTAGAGCAAAACGATCAGAACCAAATAACACAAAGGACGAGGTGGTGAAGATTTCGACAAGAGAGGTACCTACGAGTTTCGAGCATATGAGAGACTTGGTCGATGGTAGATACTATAAGGCTGCCATACAGATCGAGAATGGCATGATGGTCGATTGTACCATGAATGGCAGACGACTTGAGAGATTGACTCAGATAAAGTCTCCCCAAACTAAAACGTTGCTTGTCCCCAAGCAACATAGAACTAAGACACAACGAACGAACAAAACAAACAAGTACGTGGAATTTTCGCTCAGGTCCTCACACATCTCACATAACTGCATAGCTACAACTTCTCAAATTAATAATCACCGGACTCGAAATAAAATCATCTTTAGAACGCCAACAATCAAATATCAATTCAGTGAATTACCGCAGTTCATCAATCTCTTCACCGAGTATACCAATCATGCAACTAATGATACCCCTTTTTTTGTCAACCGGTTTGGTTCCTATTCGCTTCTAGCCAGAAATCAAACGTCTCGATTTTTTTTTCTTCTTCTTCTTCTTTTTTTTTTTTTTGGGAACGGCAGCTCCGTCACAGTCCATGGTTTTAGCTATTCATGCTAGAGTGATACACTAAAGCTCACAGACTGGCAGCTGTTGCAGCCCACAATTTTTTTTTTTCATTTTTTTTTCTTTTTTTTTTCAACACCCATTATTCTTTCATCCACATTCATTATTTACACCACCTTTTTTTTCCGAGACATTCAACTCCCAACTTTCCACGTCAAGTCACCTCACATAATCGACATCAAGCAGAATAGTCACCAGCACATTTCAAGAATATAAACATTTAAAGACCAACTCACTATGAATAAATCACATAAATGTCCATCATCATGCCTTTGTCCCTCCAATGACAATACTTCAAGAATTTAACCAGAAATCACTAACCCGAGTCATCATAACTAGCACAATATTTTAATAGACTCTCAAATCATCATCGCGACATTCCACATACGACAACACCAAAAACCCAATTAATATTTTTTTCTTCTAAACCAAAAGCAGCTAGACAACTAAAACCAACTAGATATGACCCTAACCAAATCAAAAGGCAAACCAAGCAAACATATATGCATAGAAAAATGACACAACTACACCCGTCAACAAAACCTCCCCAAACTTAATCTCTACTATAAAGCACATAAGGGAATTGAAATCACCAGATTATTGACGGGTGGTCCTCTTCGCTCGCTGCTGCTGTGAGTCCTCTGTCCCTCCTCAACTCGTCCGCGCAAGTCAGGTGCTCGACTAGATCTTCGAGTGGGTTGTTATCAGGGGCCCCGGTAACAGTACAAAATTCTGCCAAGCTATTATGCGGGAGGCAGTAACAGTAGAAAATCCACCCGAACAGTTATCGGGGGAGGCGGTAGCAGTGAGGTTCTTCTCTGTTTCGCCATGTTCTTCATTCTCTTCTTCGTTTAGCTCAAAATTACGTTCCTCCAGCACCTCAAGTTCGTGTCGCTGCTCTCCTAAAATAAAAATTCCACCGTAGAGATAAAATTGAACTAATCAAAATACTAATACTAATAAAAAAAACAAATATTGGGTTGCCTCCCAACTAGCGCTTTTTTTATTGTCGTTGGCTCGACTTATTACTTCCATTTTCTTTAAGCTATCCATGGCAGATTCAGAGGTGGCCTCAAAGGAGGCACAAACCTTGCATCACCATGCTTCTTCAAGATCATCTTATCATGTGTCGGCAAAGATTTTAGTTCGAGCTTTGGAGCCTGCACAATAGATGACAAAAATTTCCGATGAGATTCTGATAATTTAAAATTAGCATCATACCTAGGAGAAACATGTCCTCTCTCATGCAAATCCATGACGAACTCCTTCAATTTTTTGGCTCGATCGCGAAAATTGCCCCCGTCAACTTCTGCTATCAGGGGGGGCGATAACAGTTTGTCGCACCCTATGCTCGATGAGATCACCACCTCTAACTCATCGTTTCGACCATAAGTCTCCATATATTCCTGTGCTAAAGGGTCAATAACATCAAGCATATAAACAGAGTCATCACAATCATCAGGATATTTCATAGTATCAAAGATATTGAACTTGATGACATGTCCATCAAACTCCATCGTAAGAGTGCCCTGTCGAACATCAATCATTGTTTGGGCGTGTTTAAAAATGGTCTTCCCAATAAAATTGGGGTGGAGTTTGAGGACTTATCATCCATGTTCAACACATAAAAATCAGCTGGAAACACAAGATCATTAACTTTCACAAGCACATCCTCAACAACACCGTCGGGATAAGTGGTACTACGATCGGCAAGTTGGATAACGACCCAAGTTTGTTTCAAAGGACCCAAATTCAGAGATATTAAAGATAGAACGAGGCATAACATTTATCGAAGCACCCAAATCTAACATAGCTCGTTCTATTTTTAAATTCCCGATTACGCAAGGGATGAAAAACATACCTGGATCACTCTTCTTCAGTGGCAAGCTTTTCTGGAACACGGCTGATACATTCTCACCCATTATCACCTTCTCGTCCCCTTTCAATCGCCTTTTATGCGTGCACAAGTCTTTCAGAAACTTCGCATATTTTGGAACTTGCTTTATGGCATCGATTAAGGGAATATTGACCTCAACCTTTCTGAAAACGTCTAAGATCTTCTTCCCGACGTCATCTTTCTGTTGCTTCTTGATTCTCGATGGAAACGGCAAAGGTTCAGCCCATCTCGGATCGGTTTCGATGGCCTTTTTCTTTATTTTTTCTCCAGCAGTTCTGTTATCAGGGGGGCGATAACAGCAGAATCTTTAGTATTCTCGCCATCTTCTTTCTCGTCCTCATCTTCTTTCGATGGAATAGGACTCTCGGGGGCTGAGAGCTCCTTCCCACTTCTCAATGTGATGGCGCTGACATTCTTTGGATTAATCTCTGCTTGGGACGATAGTTTGGAATTCACTTGCGACTCCAATCGGTTCACGTGACTCGACAATGAGGTCACTTGCCCCTCCAAGTTCTTAAGGGTGAACGCCATGCTCTCCATCAGCTTCTTCATTTCCGAAGATGATTCATTCGGTGGGGGTGAGAGTTGTACTCTCCGGTGCCTTGGTACCTTTGAAAGCCTTGTCCCCTTTGAAAGTTTTGGGGTTGCCTTCGGTCTTGCTCCCCAAATTGGTTGCCGCTATTGTTTCCCCACCTCAAATGCGGGTGATCTCGCCACCCCGGATTATAAGTGTTTAAGAATGGGTCGTAGTTGCGTCCCGAACAATTGTTTGCCCCAACTGCATTGGCATGGGCCTCCGTCGTGTTCACTGTCCATGGACAATCCTCGGTAGTGTGATCCACTGTCTCGCATAGGCTACATGGTCGGA